TTATCACTGTTGGAGTCACAACAAACAGTTTTACTGAGAGATCCGATCATATTTGTCAAAATTCAGAAATAGCCTTATTCGAAATAATTACCATAATTACCCTTTTAAGGTCTATACCTTTTTTTTGGACCTCCGCCAACTAAAATTGGTTATTTATATTTCTTTCTAAACATAAAAAGTCCGTAAAAAAATTTGCAGCCCAGTTGCAGGTGGAGCCGTGATTCTGAATAATTACCTTATTTTAAATTATTAATTCTAATAATGGGATCTAAATGTAAACGTTGAAGATAAATTCAAGTTTATTTTAAACCGGTAAAAGCGGTGAAAAGAGCGAAGTATTATTAACAGATCTAAGGTATATTATATCTATTGAAACAAACGCATTAATAGTTAATGTAGCCATCATTATTGAGTTTAAAAATAGAGTATTAATTGTGTGCAAATTTCAAAGATTTATAATTAAAAATAAGATATTTATATATGTATATACATATGTATTACGATTATAATATACACTGCTCAAAAAAATTATGGCATAAAAAATATTTGCCGAAAATTGGCCAACTTTGACTGCCGATCACTTCGCGAAAAATTATCGTAGACGAATGATTTTTTTTTAAACTGAAGCTTGACGTCTCTACTTTAAGAATGTACCTCCATTTTTTGCATACAATGCACCCCTACTCCTGTAATCCCTGAAATCTGAAGGCATATTTGGCATACTGAAAATTGCAAAGTTTGACGGAATGCACGGACGTGAAAAAATTTTTTAGCCAGGCTTTATTCAATAATAATTCTTTTATTAAGCGTTGTAGAAAAAAATGATATAGGACTTTTCTGCTTAGTTTACTGTGCTCTACCCGCTCAAGAGCATTGGCACAATCTTTACCAGACATCCTAAATATATATATATAAATTTCTTAAAATTAACTTTAAGAATAGTCTAAAAGCTACTTGGTAGCGCCGCGGCCCTTGTACATAGGCAAAACTGTTGACAAACCGGAAAGTATTTTTTATATACTTGGCGTCGCGACGCTATCGCGTCGCTTGATTAAGATATAAAATAATTATCGTATACTTACGATTAGTAACGATATCTCTACAGGTACAGAGCCGGCCAATAGATGTAGAATATATATCCTTGCTACATCATATTCATAGCGACAATATAAAAGGGCATTTCTACAGAGGATACATGATTGCTGGATCTAACGTATCCGATAACGCAATAATTAAAATGAAACGCAACGTACGTACGAGAAGACCGATTTGCTTCATATTTTCTGGAATTGGATTTCAGTGTCTTAACATGGGTAAGTAAATCATAAAAATATCACATTACAATGTGATATTCAACAATTATTAATATGCAACATGTTTGTTTGCATTTTTGGAACATGTAACAATTTTTAATTTACACATTTATTGACATTCTTAAGTATTTGTTTAAACATGAAACAAAGTTAACAAGTATAATATCTCTCTAGTTTGCAAATTTTGTAATCCTATGAGTTACATTTATTAAGTATAATAACTAAATTTTGATTAAATTAAACTAAAATAGTAATAATACTGTAGGAAAAATTTGCAAAATAAAGATAAGCAATTTTATAAAAATTTTATTTATATATGTTTAAATCAATTAGATAAAATTATTATTTAAGACAATGTATTACACAACATTATAAAATAATGTAATTATATACGAGTATTTTTTTTAAATATTGGTTTTATTTGTAAAATATATAACTAATTGTAAAATCAAAAAGAGAATCTCTCAAAGAGAGACATCTCTCAAGAAGAGACATCTCTCAAAGGGAGATTATTACATATACATAATAGTATTCTAAATTTAGAATGCTAAATTTATAATATTTTATAATATTATTTTGTTCAACAGAAAAATACATTAGAGAAATGTAATAAAAAATTATATGTATTGCAGATCGGAATAGTTGATCTTTTAACAAGCATTGGTATAACTCCTGATATTATAATGGGTCATTCCATTGGCGAGTTGATTTGTGGGTATGCCGATCGATGTTTGACGGCCGAAGAAACGATCATGTTAGCATATTATGTCGGCTTAGCATTTCTTAAGTCAAAAATAATAGATGGCTTAATGGCTGAAATTAATCTCGATTCTAAAACTATGAAAAATATCTGTCCATCAGATATTGATATAGCTTGTTACAATAATTCACGTAATTCTATTGTGAGTGGACCAACGACCTCTGTAAGAGCATTCCTCGCTAAGTTACAGGTTTGTAAAAATGCTTAAATAGTATTAAATAATATATCTGTATGCTTATAATTATATGTGTAATTTTAAATAAATGATAAAGTTTATTCTTATTCAGAATAACAATATTTCTGTAAAAGAAATTTCCTTTGGACGTATACCTTTTCATAGTCGTTACATCGAGCCCGCAAGAGTTAAACTTTTGGAATACTTGAATCAAATATTGCCACAACAAGCGTCTCCAAGCTCAAAGTGGTTGAGCGTGTTGAATGAGTCTTATGAATGGTTCGGCGCATCTCCAAAGTCAAGTCTAGCCGAATATTATGCAAACTATTTGCTCGCCCCCGTATTATTTTCAGAAACTCTGCGTTTTATTCCAAACGAGGCAGTGACGATTGAGATAGCGCCACACGACATTCTACAATACATTCTTAATGATTCCTTAAAGACAACAGCGACAAATATCGCCTTATACAAATTCTCTCACAAACCAAATATTGAAATATTTTTACACGGAATTGGAAAACTTTACAATGCAGGATTACAGCCGCAAATCGCAAATTTATATCCACAAGTTAAGTTTCCTGTAAGTCGTGGTACACCGATGATTTCACACCTTATAAGGTAAATTCCACTTAATGTAACACAAGATTCTTCAATCATATTCGCTATAGAAAAAAAGTGAAATTTTAAAAAGCAGAAAATTAAATTGTATTAAAATCAAATATCGAAATAAAATGGCAAAAAGAGCCAAGCGCAGTAATGAGGACGTAAAAATATTTATTTATAAGAATTACATTAATCGCGAAAGGCGGACGTTTCGGCCTTTTTTTGGCCATCATCATCGCGACGAAAAATAAAATTACAAATCAAATAAGCATCACAATGAGTTATAAACAATTTAAGCGCATAGCTACACGGTAACGGATGATAAAAAGCGCAAATCTCTCAGGTCATTCTTAAGGGCAGAAACCATTTTCCAAAGTATCACAGTCGTCACGAGGAAGAACGAATCCTCGATTCTTTGGTCGTAAATTGAATCCGACATGTTGATATATTAATATTAATCGTGTCTGTAAAATAAGCGGAGCGGTTTATGTCAGAAAATGACGAGAGAGAAGGTCTGTGTCGGAAATTATAGTTGTAAAACTTACATACAAGGGACGCAACGCACAAGTCGACAGTAAAAATTGTTCTCACGATGTAAGATCTTAACTAAACTCACTGACTATCGGCGGAATAATGAGAAAAATATCGTTAGACGAAAAAGGTGAAAGGACAAAAACAAACGTTACTAATAACGATAAACAACGGCGCAAAACAATAAGATCAAAGAAGATTATCAAGAACGGTGAAATTTTTAAATTACCATAACAATATATATAAATAAATTACAATATAACGCTGTCTATGATACGGTAAATTAAAGTGATAAATAAATAACTATAAAATGGTCCGGTCAATGTAAAAGTCGAAAAATAATAAAAATAATTGTCGTTGAAAAGGGTTGTCAAGTAAGGTAATTAAATTAATTAATAAATAAATCGCGATACAATAAACGTTGTCGCTAGATAAGCAAACGGCGCAAAAACAATAACATTTGAAGATTGTCCAGTACAGTAAAATATGAAATAATCATAAAAAATACAATGAAACAAAATAAATATATAAAATAATATATATAACAAATATCGTAAAAAATTAAAAATTAATATGGAGAATATAAACAGATGTCAAGTGTGGTAAAATAAAAACCAATATGGAGGTATAATAGAATAAATTAGATAAATAACATACAAATCAAAAGAATTAAAAAGTGCGAATACAAATACGACAGAAAAATCAATCAAATTTTGGAGAGTTTGTCGAGTACCTAGTAGTTAGTCAAATACGCCTCTGGAAGACATTCGGTGTCTGTTTGTAGATTTAAACTATCTTTTTGTCTCTTTATATGTAGAACTTCGGAAATCAATCGCTTATGTAAATGTGGTTCATTATCCAGTATTTCTATTCTACCCCAATTGAAGTCATGATTAAGAGTAATTCTGTGATCGGTTATAACAGAGTGAGTGGTCGTATTTCTACGAATATGATTTCTATGTTCCGCTATTCTCGAGCGTAGTTGTCTCTTAATCTGTCCAACGTAAGACGCATCACAATTAATACAATTGATTTTATAGACAACATTGTTACGGGCCGATTGTGGGCAGGAGTCTTTATGCACTTTAATAAACTTATTCATTTTATTAAGACTGCGGTATGAGAGTTTCACATTTAAATCTTTAGTTATGTTTTTAAATTGTTCAGATATTAAAGGAACTGTAAAGGTATTGTAAAATAAGAAACTCTCTCAGAAAACTTTTTTTTGCTATGTTTATCGTTGTCAAAATTAGAGTTGATATTGTGAAAAAGAGTTTTAAGGCGTTCACGCAGGACATCGAAAACAAACTTAAGAGGATAATCATTATCCATCAAAATTTCAACGACTAATTCAAAGTTTTTTCGATGGAACACAGGATGTGACAACCAAATCACTCTGTCAATTAGAAATTAGACCGATGACAGTACCCCTCTTCTGACACAGAGGGTGATTCGACATGAAATGTAAATATCTCCCTGAAAAAGTAGGTTTGTGGTACCAATCAGAAGTCAAATGATTATCATTTAGGATCATGGTAACATCTAAAAAATTCAGTCTATTATCTTCTCCGATCTCAATTGTCAATTGTAGACGTGGGTGGATTGCGTTGAAAATGTCTAGAGTATGGTTGAGAAGGGTGGAGGGGGTAAATTGTATTATTTTTAACGACGATAAAAACACGCGAGCTAATATTTTATACATTGTTTAATTAATGATATTTATTGTAGATGGGATCATTCCAAAGATTGGTATATGTATCGTTATATCGGACAAAGAACAACTGACAAAGAAAAAGCAATTGTTACTATTAATGTGTTGGAGGAAGATTTTATATATATGACTGGACATATCATTAATGGAAAAAATTTATTACCGGCTACAGGATATCTTTTACTTATATGGCAGATGATCGGCTGGTTAAAGAAACAAAATTATCTCGATATACCAATTGTATTTGAAGATGTAAATTTTCTACGCTCTACAATATTAACAAAACAAAGGCCAGTCGATTTAACTCTTATGGTGCAAAAAGGTAACTTGTATAATTAAATTAATCTTGCAAATAAAATATACAAAAAATTGAAATAACTTTTGCATAAAATACAAATAAGAAATAAGATTGTATAAAATATAAATCGAGAAAAGATTTGTATCCAATAAATAAACCATTAGAGCAATCTGTCAATAGTGTGACCGCAGATTTGAGCAGGAAATGCAATATTAGCACTAACAGCGTTTACAAGAAATTGATATCAATATTTTTACAGGTAGTGGCAAATTCGAGATAATCGAAGGAAGCAATGCTGTTGTTACTGGAACAGTACGAATTCCAACTAATATCGAATACGAGAAAATATGTACTACATTTATCGATCGAAATGACAATGATGAAGAGGAGATGAGTACGAAAGATATTTATAAAGAATTGAAGCTCCGTGGTTATCAATATACTGGCGAATTTCGTGGATTAAAAAGCGCGTCAATTAGGGGAAAGAATGGTCATATTGTCTGGACTGACAACTGGACAACATTTATGGACAACATGTTACAGATGATGATTTTAGGACTGGATTCGAGAAGTCTCTTCGTACCAACAAGAATTCGTAAAGTAGTAATCGACCCAGAATTTCATATAAAACAAATTAAAAAGCTTCCAAATGAAGAAAAACGTACGTTTACAATTATATAAATGTGCACAATATTTAGCCCGATGTTATTTTTCGGAAAATATATGTATAAAATTGCGCTATTGTATCAATATTGCAGAAATCCTTGTACAAAATTATAAGCATTTAGATGTTTTGATATCCGGAGGAATTGAAATAAGTGGCGTCGTGGCTACAACTATATCTCGCCAACAAAGAACAATTCATCCCGTTCTTGAAGAGTACAAGTTTGTTGCTCATCGGGATCTAGATGTAATGTCTTTAGAGGACATAACAAGAATGTCGGTGCATATTGCACTCGAGTGTTACAATATGATAAACGTAAAAATCATCGAATTTGTGGAGAATAGCGATCAAGTGATGCCGGAGAATTTAAATTGTTTATTTGTGAATAAAGTTCTAGATGATTTACCGCAAATTCAATCCGATATCAAACTGGTAGCAACACACGAGCGGTTAAAAGATATCGCTTTGCCTGATAATATTTCTACAATAGAATTTGATAAACTGACAAAAAATGAAAATTGTTTGATGATTATAGGTTCCGGAATTTTAACAAAAAATAAAAACAAATTGTATGAACAATCATTATCTGTCATGATGCCAAAGGGATTTCTTCTAACATTCGAAGAATTGGATGCTATCTACGACTACTCATGTCTAAATAAGTATGGGTTAAAAGTAATTTTGGAGAAACGCACCAACGATAAGACAATTATATTATTAAGAAAAATACGCGATATTAATAAGAGGAATCTACAGATTGTGCATGTAAACAATTATGAATTCTCATGGATAGACAGGCTTAAATCATTCATGGACACAGAAAATGAAACTACGAGGATTATAGTCGTCGCAGAAGGGGACTTCGAATGCGGACTAATCGGCCTTGTAAATTGTTTGCGAAAAGAACCGGGCGGTAAAATAATTAGAGGTGTATTTGTTCAAGATAAAGATGCACCTACTTTTTCATTGCAAGAATCATTGTACATGCAGCAACTACAGCTGGATTTATCCATCAATGTTATACGTTCTGGTAGCATTTGGGGTTCTTACAGGCATTTTCCATTACCATTACGACAACCAAAACTCGTACAGAGTGCTTATGTTTCTCAAATGGTACGTTGAGAAGATTCGGTATTTATAAAAATGTAATAATGCTTTGTAATATTTTTATTTATAATTTAAGTAATGATTTAATGTAAGCTTAATGGGATTAAAATAATCGTTATATTTATTTATTTTAGGTGCAAGGTGATCTCAGCACTTTTTGTTGGGTGCAAAACAGAATATCTTTAATCAACAATGACGAAGAAAATCAGATAAGAATTGTCTATGCGTCTATCAATTTTAAAGATATCATGATAGCTAGCGGTAGACTTATTTCGACTTCTGTCGCGTCTCTCGAACGAAATAATAGCATTTTAATCGGAATGGAATTTGTTGGTTTTAATAAAAATGGACAAAGAATAATGGGACTGTGTTCAAATGGGTAAGATAGTGATACGCACAGATGTCAATTAATATATTTTTCGTAAATAAACTGTTTAAAATATTTTTTTTTTATATTTAAATTAAAGAAACTTTTGATGAAGTAAAAAAATTGAAAGAATTGTTATATTTTGCAAGTTTCTTTGTATTGCTTTACTATATACAGATTATTATTCAAAATAAAAAAAGTTTTCAATATGTAACTTTAATATAATAAATAATACAAATCACTATTTTTAGTGGATTTGCAAATATTTGCGTAGCTGATAAATATCTCAGTTGGATCATACCTGATGAGTGGACGATGGAAGACGCCGCAACTGTTCCTTGCGTATATAGCACATGCTATTATGCTTTGTATTTGAGAGGTAAAATGAAAAAAGGCGACAAAGTGTTAATTCATTCTGGTACGGGAGGCATTGGTCAAGCAGCAATTCACCTTGCACTTTACGAAGGTTGCGAAGTGTTTACAACGGTTGGGAGTATCGAGAAACAACACTTTATAAGAGAAACATTTCCCTCTATTTCCGAGGATCATATCGGAAACTCTCGAGACACGAGTTTTGAACAAATGATTATGAAGAAAATCAGATAAGAATTGTCTATGCGTCTATCAATTTTAAAGATATCATGATAGCTAGCGGTAGACTTATTTCGACTTCTGTCGCGTCTCTCGAACGAAATAATAGCATTTTAATCGGAATGGAATTTGTTGGTTTTAATAAAAATGGACAAAGAATAATGGGACTGTGTTCAAATGGGTAAGATAGTGATACGCACAGATGTCAATTAATATATTTTTCGTAAATAAACTGTTTAAAATATTTTTTTTTTATATTTAAATTAAAGAAACTTTTGATGAAGTAAAAAAATTGAAAGAATTGTTATATTTTGCAAGTTTCTTTGTATTGCTTTACTATATACAGATTATTATTCAAAATAAAAAAAGTTTTCAATATGTAACTTTAATATAATAAATAATACAAATCACTATTTTTAGTGGATTTGCAAATATTTGCGTAGCTGATAAATATCTCAGTTGGATCATACCTGATGAGTGGACGATGGAAGACGCCGCAACTGTTCCTTGCGTATATAGCACATGCTATTATGCTTTGTATTTGAGAGGTAAAATGAAAAAAGGCGACAAAGTGTTAATTCATTCTGGTACGGGAGGCATTGGTCAAGCAGCAATTCACCTTGCACTTTACGAAGGTTGCGAAGTGTTTACAACGGTTGGGAGTATCGAGAAACAACACTTTATAAGAGAAACATTTCCCTCTATTTCCGAGGATCATATCGGAAACTCTCGAGACACGAGTTTTGAACAAATGATTATGCAGAAGACCGAAGGTCACGGAGTGGATATCGTATTGAATTCTTTAGCTGAAGAAAAACTGCAAGCATCCATCCGTTGCTTAGCAAAGGGTGGTCGTTTCCTCGAAATTGGAAAGTTTGATATGGTTTCCAATAATCTTTTAGAAATATTTGCATTCTCAAAAGGCATTAATTTCTACGGTATAATGTTGGATAATCTATTTCGTACAAAACAAGAGAGTAAAGTAATATTGTGGAATATAATAATAGAAGGTATAAAGAAAAGGGCTATCAAACCGTTATGCAGAAAAGTCTTTGAAAAGGATGAAATAGAAACTGCGTTTAGATATATGGCTGCTGGAAAACATATTGGCAAAGTATGATCATTTTTTAATATACGTACAAAAAAGAGTAACTAAACTTGAAATACTAAATTCTCAAAAAAGCACAGTTTTTGTTCTCTTTGTGTTATCCTTAATATTAGCTTTTATTTATAATATTATATAACTAGGTGGTTTTGGTCTAGAATTAATTGATTGGTTAATTCAACGTGGTGCAAAAAATCTAGTAGTGACTTCGCGAACTGGGATAAAAAGCGGTTATCAACAATCAAGAGTAACGTTATGGCATTCTTACGGTATAAATGTACAAATCGTTACAGGTACTGATACTTCAAGATATAAAGACTGTGAATCTATATTAAAATTTGCCGAAGAACAAGGTCCTGTGGATGCTATATTCAATCTTGCAGTTGTGTTAAAAGATGGCATAGTCAAGAATCAATCCCCACAAACATTTGAAGAATCTTTCGTATCAAAGGCATGGACGACGAAAAAGATGGACGAATTATCGAGAACAATTTGCACTCAACTTCGACATTTTATCGTTTTTTCTTCCGTTTCATGCGGAAGAGGTAACGCAAGCCAAACAAATTACGGAATGGCTAATTCCGTAATGGAAAGAATTTGTGAAAGAAGAATGAAAGAAGGTTTACATGGTTTGGCTATACAGTGGGGCGCAATCGGTGAAGTTGGGCTTGTCGCAGACATGCAAGAAAATGACAAAGAACTTGTTATTGGAGGTACATTGCAACAAGGAATATCCTCTTGCTTGGACACATTAGAAATATTTTTGCTACAAGATCGGCCAATCGTAAGTAGCATGGTTGTTGCTGAGAAAAAAAATTCTAGCCAAGCAATGAATCCACTTGAAGCGGTTGCAAATATTATGGGTGAGTTTATGAACAACTATAATACAAAAAGTTTGTGACAGAACATTTATACAAACTGAATCTTTATTTAATAATGTTATTTAAAATATATTATATTGATATAACAAAGTGCATTAAAGAATGTACAAGAAATGTAAGCTTCAATAGTTGTTAAGATAAAATAATGTTTGATTAAAATTATATCAAAATATATAATTTTTAAAATAGGATTGAAAAATATGAACACAGTGGCGCCAAATATATTACTGGCTGCGCTAGGCATGGATTCAATGATGGCAGTAGAAATTAAACAGACATTGGAGAGAGAATTTGATATTTTATTGACAGAACAAGATATTCGAAATCTCAATTTTGCTGCACTTAAAAAAATGACAAATGCAATCGAGCAAGAAAAGAGGCACGATGCTACTGAAGCTGCTACAAATAATTTGGACGGTTTCGAAATATTGACACAAAAATTTAAGGATTCTGATTTCAGTCCAGATATTTATGTAGAACTCGATACAAAAAGGGAAGTTGCTGAAAACATAGTATTCCTTATACCAGGTATCGATGGATCTGCAAGCGTATATAAACTGATAGAATCGAAAATTAAATCTTTGGCGACGTGTTTGCAACACAGTGCACTTAATATGCCGGATGTTACTCGTTCAATAATGAAATCAGCAGCATATCTTCTGCCTGTATGAAATTATAAGATAATCTATTTGAAATCGTTATTTAAATTGCTGTGTATTTAAACAACAATATTTGATTATACACACGCTCTCACGCTTTCTTTACATACTATCTTATATATGCTTATGTTTATTTTTTTAGTACATAATGGAGAAAATGGAAGATCAAAAAGAATTCTTAATTGTGGGTTATTCATTTGGATCCTTAATTGCTATTGAGTTAGCAAGATTATTAGAAGCTAAGAATTTCGTTGGACGGTTATTACTTATAGATGGAGCTCCTGATTGGATGAAATTTTTGATTGAATTTCATAATTATACTTCACAACAAAAACTACAAAATGACATTCTACTTCGTTTCATGAAAATGTATCTCAAATCTGACAATGAAATGGTTAGTCAAACCATTTATTAAAACCACATTATGCTTTTTTACTACGAAAATGGTTTACGTAATTGTGTTCATATACAGTTAATATATATGAAAAAATATGAAAAATTATTTATTAAAATATTTAAATATGGTTCTGAAAGCTTTATATGCATTTTTACATGATAAAATATCTTTTACTATTTATTTATATACAGGATGGTCCATTTTAAAAGAGCCAGTCAAATATCTCGACAAATTGAAAGTGACTTTCATGTGACTTTCAAATGACTATCCAAGCTCACCAATGGCACCATCTTATGTCTCCCTTCAAACCAAACAACTTTTGTCTGAAACGTTTTTCCGTATCTTCCATATTTTTCGAGATATTTGACTGGCTCTTTTAAAATGGACCATCCTGTATGTATGATACAGATTACAGAAATTTTGAAAGACTCGTTTAAATGGTTTTCATTGAGTAAGAAAAAATGATAATAATGATAGTATATAAGAATTATATAATATTTACAATGATTGAAATATAGTGTTTATTATTTGAGAATATGTGTAAAATGGATATCAAATTAAAATAGTAATCCTTGATTACAAATTATTGCTAATAATTAAAGGACAAAATAATTTGACTTACGTAGTTCGAAAATACAGAAAAAGTAATTAAGTAATAAGAATACAGACATGTAGTATATCCGAAATGTGAAAATATAGTAAAAACTTTTATATTATTGTCTCAATTTTAAATGTAGATTACCATTTTATTATTTTTTACATAAAATATAATATTTATGTTATTTACAGCCTGCGTTAGAGCTGAATAAGTGCAGTACATGGGAGGAAAAATTAGAACTATTTACTGCTCACTTTTCGGAGAAGATCAATGTATTAAGTGTTGAAAATCAAAAATTCTTATGTACAACGGTTTACGATCATCTAATGGCTGTACAAGATTATGATATATCTTTATTGCCACCTTTAAAATCATCTATAATACTGTTAAAACCCACACTTACGCCAATCACTTTTCCTGAGGAGGATTATGGTTTACATAAGGTAAACTTTTGATTAAAGAGTAACACATTTTATTATTTTTAAGATATTTTTTACAAGAGAAATTATTTTTAGGTTACTGAAAGTGAAGTGAAAATACATTACGTACAAGGTTCTCATATCACAATGATGAACAAAATAGCATCATTTATTAACGATGAATTCTAAAATAGATAGCTCTGTATCAATATTAAATTTTCACTTAAACAATATTATTGGAAAAATTATATACTTAAATATTTCTTTTTATTAAAGAAAAAATATAAAATTTGTGAAAATGTGAATACTTAAAAGTATGACAAAAAGTTTGACAAAATAAAAATTAGATCTATATATATTTGTTTATATGAGTATGCAGTGTGTCCGGTAATAACTGTACCACGGGTACCACTGTACAGCGGGTTAGACCGAGTAGGCAAGTTTTCTACCATTTTGCCATAATTAATGAGAAACTAATTTTAAAAAATTGACTAATCCGTGCGAGTATAAGTACGCGGCGAAAATGAACATTCCGCTTTTACGCGGTTGCTAGACGCGATACATAATTAAACTTGATTATTAATTAATTATTGATTGCTGGATTATTAATCTCTGTGTGTTTTATCGCACAGAAATTATTGGAAAAATCACATAATGCAAGAGAATTTTTCTATTTGGTTTAATTTGTTCTACTTATACAAAAGTGCTGGTGATACAGTAATGCTTATACGCATCAATATATGTATGATTATGTTATTATACATATACAAGATCTAGAAGAAAATAAATCCAGAAAACAGGAAGAAAAATTTATTACTAGCTTATCACGTCCAAAATAATTATTTCACAATTATGTTTGAAATTAAAAGCAGACAATTCTAGCCAAAATAGAATTCTATAAAACTGACTAATGATGATTGCAACTTATACCAGAGAGTGATGTGATTTTTTTAAAGATTTATTTAATAAAAAGGAAATTTTTTTCTGGAAAGAATTATATAAACAGCATATATTATAACAAATTTTATATATACCATATTGAATTTGAGCGGACACAATCACAACATGTCTTAATGCTCAATCTCTTATTGTCAATCATACAACAGATTTTAAAACACGATATAATTTTAATAAGATATAATTTTATCTTTATAGATATAATTTTAATACAGAAGTTAAACTGTATAGGTATTTTACAGATATAATTTTAATATAGATGTTAAACTGTATACAAACTGTATAATCAATAATAATATAAATTGTGTAAGTGAATAAATATTAAAATATAGAAAGCAATAAAAAGGAATTTTTTTTTATTACGATGCGTGATTTAATATGAATATGAAACAAGTCCATTTTATTGAATAAACGCATCAAAATAGAATTCTATAAAACTGACTAATGATGATTGCAACTTATACCAGAGAGTGATGTGATTTTTTTAAAGATTTATTTAATAAAAAGGAAATTTTTTTCTGGAAAGAATTATATAAACAGCATATATTATAACAAATTTTATATATACCATATTGAATTTGAGCGGACACAATCACAACATGTCTTAATGCTCAATCTCTTATTGTCAATCATACAACAGATTTTAAAACACGATATAATTTTAATAAGATATAATTTTATCTTTATAGATATAATTTTAATACAGAAGTTAAACTGTATAGGTATTTTACAGATATAATTTTAATATAGATGTTAAACTGTATACAAACTGTATAATCAATAATAATATAAATTGTGTAAGTGAATAAATATTAAAATATAGAAAGCAATAAAAAGGAATTTTTTTTTATTACGATGCGTGATTTAATATGAATATGAAACAAGTCCATTTTATTGAATAAACGCATACACATAAAAGATATATAATTCCTTCTATAATGTATTCTAATAAATGATATAACCAGAAGAGATCAAATATTTTTTTGCATTTATTGATTTATTGAATATGGTTATACAGGGTAGGCCATTTTAATGTATCCACTGAAATATCTTATAATCTATAAGTTTAAGACAAAAATGTTTTAGACAAAAGTTGTATAATTCACAGGGGGACATATGATGAAAATATGGACTTGACCTTGAATGACCTTTTCAAGGCCAAGTCAATGTGATCGATGTTTTCTTAAATTTTCTTAATCTCCCCATTTTTTATTGCATATTCTTGTAGCTTATCTCGAGAGCTTTTCAAAACACTATAATAAAGTATTCCGCTAAGTAAAGGATATAGGTGCTTTTCTTTTTCTGTGTTTTTAGCAAAATTTTATCCTTTAAGATCATTAATTTTGTAGTAAATATCTTCATTGCTGGATTTAATTTTTGAATCAGTGGGGAGAGAGAGAGAGAGAGAGAGAGAAAGAGAGAGTGAGAGAGTGAGAGAGAGCGAGAGAGAGGGAGAGAGAAAGTTTATTGTCAATATTGTTCCTACGATGCGCACAATATATATACACACATACTTGTATTATTCCTACGATACGCACAATATATATGCACACATATTTAAATTTTCCATATATAAAATCAAGAATATATAAGGTAAAGTAGGGTAAAACCGGGTACTATTTTGGATTTGTCTTCCTACAAAAGATCTGAGAGTAAAAAAGATTTTGCCGACCGTTAATAATCTTTAGTGAACCTTAAACTATGAGAAAATAAGGCTAGTCGCTGAAAAATAATTTTTGATTACCAAGAACAACAAGATTTTGTGGAGAAGTCAAAGTATCCGGTTTTGTCCGGTAGGGTCATAGCGGGTACCCATTTGAAAATATGCAAAACATCGTGTAATTACAAAATCTAGATTTATTTTAATCAAAATACAACATAAAGATGTATTCTATTGACAAAAATCACAAATAAAGATATTCTCTTGTTCGACATTACTGCAGGACTTCCTTATTTAACTTTTTAGCTTTAGGGTTCTCAAAAAGCTTTTCTTTAGTGGTTTCTTTTTCTGAATGTTAGTTTTTGTTTCCAACTGCTTTTTGTAGGGAGACAAAGTCAGGATAACAGCGCTTCCTCTTTTCATTACATGAGATATGTAAGTACCCGGTTTTGCCTCAACACAAGGAAAGTAACAAATACGGCGGTTGTATATTCCGGCGTACAAAGTGCCGATCAAAACTAATATGATATACTCTTTAATATGTACAGAATGCAATGCTGCATTTACTGATACAGATGCTCTATATAGAACAAGTGCACGACGACTCGATTCTTGCCTCGATATCGATCTTTTTGGAGGTAAAAACTTTGAACTTTTATTAAAGAAGAAATATCCTGTGCACAGGGTCAGGGTTTATTTTAAAATAATGATGGCGCCAATCTACAACTAATAACACAAGTTAGCCATAGATAGCAGCATTTATTACGAAAAAACAGGGGTACCCGATTTCACCCGCCTATCCGGTTTTATACAACTTTCCCCTATATATGTGTGTGTGTGTATTTTATAAATATACAAATATGTATAGATATTAATATAAATCAATTTATTTTTATAATTATTAATATAGTATTATTATTACGAAAATATTAAAAACAAAGTGAAGATGTGATAAAATTATAATTTATTCGATATTATATATTTATGAAAAATTAAAAATTACAGACAGTAATTTAGTATATTATTATGTGTGTGCATAAATATATTAATATAGATATTAATAATATGAAGTTAAATTTTAATACGCATTATTAATATCAAAATTGCTTATAAATATAAAACTTAAAATATATCATCTTTATTAATATTTCTCTTTTGATTAACAATATGTACGGCGTTAATTCATATTATTTTTTCGATAGACTTGTAATTGAAGACTGTAATTAAAACTTTTATTTAATTTTTGTCAATATTGTTATTATACTGTCATTCATATCCATCTTTACTATATGTAGAACATATAAATATTTAAAAATTGAGAATGTCGGGTACATTTGTCTATACGATTGTATCTCCAATACATTCTTAAATATTATATTACTTTTAAGATGTCTAACAATATTTCTTGTTAATACATTTTTCCCCTTTGTTATTTTTGTTTAAGCAGCGTGAATACATGACACATAATACAGTCAAAATCTGCTACCATATCTATAAATTTTTCTTATTTAATATTTTATACATTAAATACGTTCAATCATATATGTTAATACTACTATAAAAATATATATGTCAGAATTTTAATGGAGAGATATCTATTATTAAGGAAAATTATTTGCTTTGACACATTCTGTCTTAAATATACACAAATTGTTTAATAAATTTGGTAAAAATGATGGAAATAGAAAAAGTGATGAAAAAAATGCTGTTTATTAGTAAAAGTATGTTAGAAAAACTAAACGTTCTCTCTCTCCCTCTCTCTCCCTCTCTCTCTCTTTCTCTCGCTCTGAAATATTTTTTTTAACAGCTTGCCTATATTTTATAATAACTTATTTAAAATTTATATTTTAAATACGAATTTGATTATGTGCTAATTTCTGATTTATTGATCAACGTTTATTGATCAACAAGATATGTATTAACGGTTTTAGAAGTTGTTGACACAACGTACTTATTTATTGTAATGTCATATACCGAACACCGTTAGTCTTTGATAATCTTTTGGGATGGTAAAATCGTGGAGATCACATAAATAGTAGTGCGCCGATTTGTTCCAATTAACTATTACAAAGAGACTTATATACCTGCATACAATTCGGTACATGTATTTCAATATATAGAATGAGTTATTAGAAATCGAACACTTCTATCTTCTCTCTTTCTTTTTTCTCTTTCTTTCTCTCATACGTGTTTAAATATCTAGGCTTAAAATCTTTTTAAGATTTGTATTTATTTTACATCAGAGGCACTATCAGAAATAGATTACTATTAGAAATTAATACTACTGGCATACATTTAACATTACATTTATTTTACATCACAGATACTAAATATAATATTAAAGATGTTTATTTGCTATTTAATAATATATTAAAAATACGAAATAACTATATAATAACAACATATAGTAAATGTTAAAATATGTTATTAAATATAATATACTATGATAAATATAAAAAACAGAATAATTGAAGAAATAATTAAAAAGATATTTCATTTGATTCAATTTATTTATGAAAAGATGTATTAAATAAAGTTTGGATACTTATAATCTCACTAAAGTAACGACCAAACATATATGTATATAACATAAAATAAATAAACTAAAAACTGTATCAATTATATAGGACAGATACAGACGGACCAAAACATACAACGTGTAACTTTCAAAATGTGTATAAAATAATATATTGAACCACATAATTTCTTAGTTGCGAATTCAGTACGGTTTTCCATTAAAGCTGAAAAGTTTTATTCAATTTTAAAATTAATAATTATAATCTGTTTAAGTTTTCGTTATAACTAAACTGTAAGTTTACTTTATAAATGACATATACATATATCAAAAATATTATCTCAATTAGATGAATTTGGTAAGGAAAAAAGTTCTGTGCTAGTTTTCTTATTTGTTCTCTTTCTAACAAAGGAGTGTTTCAGCAGGCATCTGAGGCAAAAATTAACATGGTATTTCTAAAATTATTGTTAAATAGCTGTTTAACATTTATTGCTGCAAAAGCTTCTTTTACTGACGCCCATATTGAATTATATGAAAAACATTTACTCAATCTTGACAATATAATATCAGAGCATTATAATGTCCAACTTGCTATACCAGATATCGAGCTAAATATTTTCTACGGCGAATGCGATATTAGTATTAAGATTCTTGTACAAACACAATATCTAACATTGTATTCAAAAATTAAATGTATAAATGATATAATTGTGACTGATAATCCACCAAGATTTTACGTGTACAATAAGGAAATGATTGTTTATCCGGTGAAATATTTCTATAATGATACGAATGAAAGTTTCAAGATTTTTTTTATATGTCAGACATCACCGGGACGTTACATTTTGGATATAAAATATGATGGTATTATTGATAATAATACAAAGTTAACAACTTTTTGCAAACAGAAATGGGGAGTATTTGTTAAAATCTCGAAACTTTCATTCGTATCATTATAGAAATATTTCACCGGATAAACAATCATTTCCTTATTGTACACGTAAAATCTTGGTGGAGTATTAGTCACAATTATATCATTAATGCATATAAACGATATGTACATATATATTATTTAGAACTTAAATTAATGGTTTTGTCGCACTTAAAAATGTGTATGAGATA